AGGGGCGAGGGGGCGAGGGGGCGAGGGGCGAGGGCGAGGGGCGAGGCGGCGAGGGGGCGAGGGCGAGGGCGAGGGCGAGGGGCGAGGGGGCGATGGGCGAGGGAGCGAGGACGCGAGCGGAGCGAGGAGCGTGGGGACGAGCGGCGAGGGGCACCAGTGGGCGCAGGGCGCGTGGACGTAGCGGCGAGGAGCGCAGGAGATGAGGCCTAATGGGGCGAGGGAGCAAGGGGGCGAGGGGTGAGGGGTGAGGGGTGAGGGGCGAGGGCGCGAGGGGCGTGGGGCGAGGCGGCGAGGGGCGAGGGGCGAGGGAGCGTGGGGCGAGGGGCGAGGGGAGTGGGGAGAGGGGCCTGGAGCGAGGCGAGGAGCGAGGAATGAGTGGTAATGGGCGAGGGAGTGTGGCGAGCGGCTGAGCAGGGGGCGAGGACGAGGAATTGGGGGTAATGGCGCGAGGGGCAAGGGGCGAGGGAGGGTGGAGGGCGAGGGGCGAGGGTGAGGGGCGAGGGGCGAGGGGCGAGGGGCGAGGGCGAGGGGCAGGGGCAAGGGCAAGGGCGAGGCGGTGAGGGCGATGGCGGAGGGCGATGGGCGAACGGAGCGAGGAGCGAGGGGCGAGGGGCGTGCGGGCAAGGGGCGGTGGGGCGAGGGCGAGGGGCTGAGGGTGGAGCGGGCGACGGGCGAGGGCGAGGACGAAGGGTGATGGGCGAGGGGCGGGTTGGTAGGAAAAGTGGGGCAGCGCGAGCCCGCTCGAGTCCGAGAGCGGGAGGCTAGCCAGCAGAGAAACCCGGCAAGGAAGACACACAGAGACGGAATCATACAAAGAGCGGGTTAAAGCGCGTGGAGAAGCTGTGATTCGTGGTAATTAAAATAATCAAAAATAAGAAGTGAAGATATTGGAAATATTATGATAAATTAATATCATAGAGATGAATGATTATCTACTATGTAAATGTTTTGGGAAAAAAGAAGAATATCAAATTAAGTAAATTTGTGGGATGAATGAAATTAAAAAGAAGTAAAAGAAAATCCAACATATTAAGTATGTATTGACGAAGAAAAACTGATCGGAAATTATTTTATTGACATGTTAGACGTTATGGAATAAAACAGACAATGTTCGGAACATTTTATTAATCTTTATTCTTGTTCATGCGGAAGCAGGCATTTTATATAATCGATTGATCTCAGACCGCTAGTACAGTAAACAAGATTTTTTCTACATAGCGAGTTAGTGTAAAACAAATCAAAATCTATCATTTTAATACGGAAGTTTTGAGGAAAAGGAATAATGCAATTTAGAAAAAAAGTAAATTATCATGTAACTCCGCGTCACTTAGTTTGACAGAAAAATTGATGTTGGAATGTAATTTTTATTTTCCTACAAAAGATATGATTAAAAAATTTGATTTACTTATTCCTATTATTTCTGTAATATTTCATTTTATCGTAAAACAACCCCTTTTAATTTCGGAACATAATGAAATAGATATAAATATATATATATATAATATATATATATATATATATATATATATATATATAATAATATATATCGTTCCTTGCATTTACTAGAAAAGCATCTTTAATATAATGTAAGTTCTACGAGTTATCTATACTCCACTTAATTTTATTTTCGCTGAATCTGAATCCCCAATAGTTACGTAAGAATTTCTATGAAATTAAATATTTTTAGTTTATTAATTTATCAAGCCTTTATTAATTTGAAACGAATCCTCAATATTTCATACGAACGTGCCCTCTGGCTTGGCGTACCTACGTGTTGCTTGCCGGTATGTCTAAAGGTATCTCCAAGAGCGTGGCCACCGGTCAGCGAGAAAAGTCATGCTTCCGACTTCTATCCGCAAGTGTGTTAACTCGTATTAGTGTAGTGCCACAGGATTAGCTGAGTGCGAAATATCAGAAAAAAACTACAACTCCAGCAGTTAGTGTAAACTCATTGATTGCCGAACAATGAGAAAAAACAAGAGAGTTTGGTGTTGATGACCCTGGTTATAATGAGATTAGAAAGTTTGATGTTCATATTTTAGTGCTGGTTGTGCAATCCAGAAAAAAAAAACATATAAGATTGTGTGACTTATTGGAAGCAGATAGCTAAAAAGCATAATGCTAATTCATGGCCAAGTTTTGTTATTTTTTTCTTGCGTTAATGTGTTTCCAAAATATAGGATTTTGTATTCCCTTTGGAGAATATTACATCCTCAGGGGATAATGTACATTGTCAAACGATGTGAAGTAGAAATTAATTTTTCCAAAAGCCTTGAAGTAAAGAGAAGATTCACAGCGGGGCACTCTTTATCGTCTGTAGCTGTTATTTCTCCAGGAAATCCCAAAATGTTAAAATTACAGAAAACTACGGTTTTTAAAAATAAATGAACAAGGCGAAAATTATGTGAATTGCAGAATTTAAAGTAGTTTGTTCAAAACTAAGGATTATTTTGTCGAAAAAAAACAATAGTCTCCGTTATGAAAGATTAATTACAACTGAAAAGTAATATTATCTTCCGAATCGCTAAAATTTGTTAACTGACTGTATAAGTTCGAGATATCGGCTTCTGGATTCTGAAAATTACAAAGAATACTAGTATCTAACATTAAAAAAACATCACTATATATAATACTTCTTGCAATTTTTGAAGAGGAATTACAACGTCTTTGTAGAAATATCTTAATATTTCCTTTTTAAGTACGTTTTTTTAATTTTCATCGTGGAAACTAGGCATCAACGTAAGAGTACCACGTTAGTCGAACTACCTTCTCTATCACTTAGCTAAAAGTGAGAGAGGGAAGTACTCATGCTAGGCGTTGAGGTCGGATACGCTGAGAGTGGCGAGCTCGTAGCTGCGAGATGGCCGTCTTCGTTACTCTTTTCCACGGGCTCGGATGCTTAGCAGGTTCCCTCTACAAAGACAAGGAAAATGAAAATTGCAATTATAGTAATTAGTTTGACCATTGAAACAAATTCATTGAAGTAATTGTTGTAGACTTTTAGCAAAATTGGGATATCTTTTCAAATGCTTGTATTCTCTGTACAGTAAAGAATGTTACAAAAAATATTGAATTGTATAACATTAATAAGCGATGAAATAATATGCTGGTTAATCAGTAGCCCACAACAAACTGTCCCATCTTAAGTAGATTGTGCCTATAATCGCCCAACACCAAATATTTGAACAACCCACATTATTCGCCCAATTCTATTAACGACACTCTAGATATAAAAATGTTGTTCTGATAAGGTACTTCGAAACCAGGATGCTTAGTGTCTAATACGTAACAATCGGAATACGTTCAAACAACCGTCGCAGTAACAAACCACCGAAACCAACTCTCGAACGGGGCCGAATAAACAACAACTGGGACAATTCTAATATCATAGGCAGTTTCTGAAATACAAGTACTTTTTTGTTTACAAAACCTGAACATCCTTGCCAGCAAATGTAAAGCCGTAACTTTGAAATTCACTGTGTATATAAGAAACACGGAAGATCCTTTACAGCATCAAGGTAACAAAAGTACTCTAAGAAGATACATCTAAGCATTTGGTTGACTATACCTGTTAGCTTTGTTCGCAGAAGTTACATATGATTAAAAAACGAGCTCCTAACGTTGCCTAGTTTTTCAAATTTTGCCACACGAAGCGCACATAAAAGCACAGTTGTAAACGAGCTCTGCATTAGTTCATTTGTTTCGATATAACAGCAGTTATAAATTAACTATAGCAGAATCAAACTTAACTGAACGAAACCCTTTCTTGTGACATCTCGATTTAATTGACATCCATGAATAACGAGGAAGCAACATGCTCGGCTGTACCGTTACTCTGACCAGTCTTCCCGATTCTCTCGCTGCGCATTGACAGAGTATGTGAGGAAACGCAATCATTCATGTCGCTAAAATTTAATAACGTCGATCTTAAGTGGTGCGCCAGATACACATAAAATGAGCCCTTTAAATGGTAAAAAAACCATTATTATGTTCAATATCTTTTTTGATGTTTTAGAGCGCATCCATAGGCAACGGCTGGTTAAAGAATGCTCCGAGATTCCATTAAAATAGATTAAAGCGTACTTTTCAGGTTCAACTTATTAGCCCAGTAGTTTCATACTCTTTGGATCACAATATATCTAATGCCACCAAAACAGAATTTGGGGGAATAAATAAGAAAAATAAATACACGCGTGGGAATTAACATACTAACAAGTGTAACTTGGACATGAAAATGCATCTTACTAAAATAATAACCTTGAGCCATCTACTCATCATACTATATCCACTTGAAACGGGAAATGTGGAAACTGACGAAGAAAACCCGGCGCAGAGGGAAACGGGAACACGCGTGCAGTGCGAGCGCGGCCGACGGCTGGCGTACGGCGAGCGGCCTCTGGCGGAGGCTTATGAGCGGCGGAGGTGAATGAGAGAGCGGGGAGCGAGAAGGCGGGGGCGGCGAAGCAACAAGGTCAGTCGCCCGAGGGGCGGAGCAGCTGGCAAAACAGCTGCGGGGACGATGGGGCCGCACGCGAAAGGCGGGCGCTGGAGCGGAATGCACTTTCCGCGACGAGACTCATGCGTGGGGATCCGCGCGGCGCCCGCACAAGGGGCGGGGCGGCGGCGGGCGGAGGGGGGAACGTTGGCAGAGGAGAGAGATGGCGTTGCCGGGTCGGAGCGGTGCGCGCAGAATCGCAAAGAAGAACCAGAAGAAACGGATGGGGGAGCGGACAGGCCGAGGGCGCCAGGGACGCTGTGACGAGGCGGGAGGCAAGCGTGTGGCCGTGACGGGCGGCTGCGTGGGCGTGGCGGCAAGGGGCGTGAGGAGGAGAAGCGATGGCGAGGAGCCCGTGGCGGGGCAGTAGCCCGCGGGGCGTGCGGGAGCGTGGCGGGAGCGAGGGCGTGGGAGAGCGCGAGGCGGCGAGGCGGGCCGGGAGCAGGGCGCCCGTGGGGTTAGCGAGTGCGACGCGGGCGGGCCGGGGCGTGATGATCATTAGTAGATGGGAACGGGACGCGCGGGGGCGAAACTGACAGCGGTCGCAAGGGGGGCCTTGGCGACGGCGCGGGTGCGGAAGCATAGGGGTGAATCATATCGCAGCGGCCAGTACAAGCCGCAGCAGCCAGGAAGAAAATGTAAAGTGAGCGGAAGGCGGAAAGCAAAGAGGCATAGGGCGCAAGGAAAAGCGAGCGCCGCGCGTGGAGCCGGGCTGTCGGGGACGCCCGACCGCGGAAATCGCGGCCGCCGGGTAGCCCGCCAAGATGTCTCGCGAACAAGTCATCTCGCTCGTAATTCCGCCAGCGCGACTTTGTGGCGGCGAAGCGAGCGACGATGCCGCGGAAAGGACGCCGGCGTTCAGGCAAACGGAGGAGCATGGTGGGAGGATAAAGATTCATGAGCTGCCTCCGAACGGCAGATGGGGAAGGGAAGGAGGAGAAAGCTACGAAGGACGGAAAAGTTGCTGGAGGGGTCGAATTGCTAGATATTGACGTTGCAGACCGAAATATGGAGAGACAATAAATTTAAAAAGTGAACCAAGGTTAGAAAAACGGGGAACCCCCCAAAGTATACATTTTATTTTGTGAAGGAAGTTTTTTTTAATACTTGCGTTGTTCGGGCGTCGTCAATAATTAAGTTCATTAGTCCTGTAAGTGTAGGTGCGTATGGAATTGCGTGATTAGCTGGCGATGAATCTTCCCTCGGTGGCTGACAGGCGTCCGTCCTCGACCTACATGATGGGCTAGCGGGGTTAGAGCTCTAAGCTTCCGACCCGGTGTCCTGACATTGTGTGGAAGTATACGGCCATGTAAGAGGTGAGGGTTGGCAAGTAAGAGGTTGGAGGAGTACAACAAGATAATGCGGAAGGAAAGACAGCGCGATGTCCGTGGCTCTGGGTGCGGTAAGGTACTGGTTTCTGGAATTCGCCTTCTGCTGATTACAGGACGAAACCACGAAAACACTACCGTGGATCAGGTAGGCCGCGCCGCAAGAATTCTGACTCCAGGGTAGAAGTTGCATTTTGATTCTCGATTCTAGCTTAGTGTCGAGAAAGACGTCCTTACGCGAACGTCCAAGGCAAGTCGCATCCGATGAGATCGTGCGGCGCGATGAGGTTGTCTCTAGTGACTATGGATGTTGATCGATCTGAGCCAGATAAGCCGGGTAGCGTATATCTATCAGAAGATACTGAGACACACGAGAGTGGTTGTTAGGCGGGACAACGCAGCAGGATGCCACCAAAAAGGCCAAGTGGATACCGATCGACGTGTGCGGAACCATTGGCTAAGGGAAGTGCAAACTACGCAGTAGTTAGAATAAACGATTTGAAGCGGATAATGCGGGGATCGTGTGGGTAGGCAGGCGGGAGCTGCGCGGAGATGGCAGCGGGAGTGAAGTCGGTGCGCGAGGGGACCGCAACGTGGAGGCTACTCCGTGTGATGTCTGGTGTGGGGCGTGGGGGTGGATGTGGTGGGTGCCGTAAACAAGAGAGGCGTGGTTGGCGGATGTACCAAGAATGAAAAGGCGGGGGGCGGGTGCGGGGGACAGGAAAGGGCCGAAGGCCCGCGGGGGCGGGGGCGTGGCATGCGGACTCCGGTCTTCTCGCGCGCGCGTGAGGTTTGAGCAGCACCATTACGCTGGCTTCCGACCTGGACACCTGCCCGCCCTCAGCCTCCGCCAGAGGGCGCTCCGCCGCACCCGCCAGCCGTCGGCCGCGCTCGCACTGCACGCGGTTTCGTCCCTCTGCGCCGTTTCTTCGACATTTCCACATTTCCAGGTTCAAGTGGAAATAGATGATGAGTAGACACTCAAGTTATTATTTTAGTAAGAGCATTTTTCATGTCCATGTTACACGATATGTTAATCCACGCGCGTATTTATTGTTCACATTTATTCCCCAAAATTCTGTATTGTGGCATTAATATATTGATCCAAAGAGTTGTGAACACTGGTAAAATCTGAACTGAAAAGTACGTTAAACTATTTTAATGGAATCTCGAGCATTTTAACAGCCGTTGCTATGGATGCGCTCTTAAAACATCAAAAAAAATATTGAACCATAATAAGGTTTTTTTAGCATTACAAACGGTCTTTTATGTTGCAAGAAGTCGTAAATCGTTCGTTATCTGGCATTTTTGGCACAAATGATGACGTATTAAATGAATTGAATGACATGAATGATTGTGTCATCACATATTCTGCCAATCGCAGCGAGACAATCGGGAAGAGGTAGAGGTAACCGGAACAGCCGACCATTGCTTCCTCGCACAGATGTCAAAAACTCTAGATGTCACAAGAAAGTGATTTCGTTCAGTTAAGTTCGATTCTCTTATAAATTTATAATGCTGTTATACAAACAAATAACTATGCAACTCGTTTACAATATTGTTTTATTGCATTCGTGCAAATTTGAAAACGAGCAACGTTAGGAGCTCGTTTTTAACATATGTACTCATGCAACAAAGTTAACATTATAAACCAAATGCTTAATGTACTCTTAGAGTACTTTTGTACCTTGATGTGTAGATGGTTCTTATTACACATAATTCAAGTACTTACATTTGGCAAGGATTTCAGGTTTTTAACAAAAAAGTACTTGTAATAAAACTGCCTATGAAATTAGAATTGTCCAGTGTTGTTATTCGGCGTTCGAAGTTGGTTCGGTGTTGTTACTCGGCGTTGTTAACACCGATTTACGTATTAACACTAAGCAATCCTGGTTTCGAAGATACATTATCAGACAACATTTTTATATCTAATTCAATAAATTCAATAAATTGTTGTCAAATATTGTTTGAATTATAGGTACAATTACAAGATACAGTTGTTGGGGCTACTAATTAATAGCATATTATTTAATCGCTATGAATGTTTGCAATTGAAATATTTGTAACATTTTATGTATAATGATAAAGCATGAAAAAATATCCCAATTTTTCTAAAACAACAATTACTTCAATGAATTTTGTTTCATGGTCACACTAATTTACCATGATTGTAATTTCATATCTTGTCTTTGTAGAGGGAACCTGCTGCAGAGCCGTGAAAAGTACGAAGACGCCATTCGCAGCTACGAGCTGGCCATTCAGTACCGCCCCACGCTAGCAGGTGAGCACTTCCTCTCACTTTAGCTAAGTGATAAGACAGAGTAGCGACTAACGTGAGATACTCTTACGTTTGATCCATAGTCACATGAAATTATAAAACGTATAAAAAAGAAAATTAAGATATTTCTACAAAAGTTGAAATTCATATCAAAATTGCAAAGATATTAAATATAATGTTTTTTTAATGTTAGAGTATAGTATTTTGTAGTTTAATCAGAAGCGATATCTCGAACTTATACCAATCAGTTACAAATTAACAATTCGGAAGATAATATTATTTTTCAGTTATAATTAATCCTTTCATAACGGAGATATTGTATTTTTTTTAAATAATCCTGAGTTTGAAAAATAACTTTTAAATTCTCAATTACATATTTTCCCTTCTTCATAAATTTTTTAAACGTAGTTTAACTGTATTTTAAATTTTGGTGATTTCTGGAGAAATAAGCTACAGACTGATAAAGATGCACTGTGAATTTTCTTTATTAAGGTTTTGGAAAAATTATTTTACTTAATGTTGATGTAATTGTCTGAGGATGTAAATATTTTCAAAGGGAATAAAAATGTATATTTGGAACACATTAACCAAGAAAAAATACAAAACTTGCCATGATTAGATTAATGCTTTTAGTTATTTGCTTCCAATAAGTCACACAATCTTAATATGTTTTTTTCTGAATTAGCACAACTAGAAAAAAATATGAACATCATAACTTCTAAATCTCATTATAACAGGGTCATCAACAAAAACTCTCTAGTTTTTTTTTCATTGTTCGGCAATCAATGAGTTTACACTAACTGCTGGAGTTGTAGTTTTTTTTTCTGATATTTCGCATACTACCTGCGCACTACACTACGAGTACCACACTTGCGGAAGAAGTTGGAAGCTTAGACTTCTCTCGCCTGACCGGAGCCAGGCTCTTTCTCATCTTTAGACATACCGCAAGCACACGTAGGACGCCAGCCAGAGGGCACCGTTCGCAATGAAATATTTGAGGATTCATTTAATTAATAAAGACTGATAAATAATAAACTAAAATATTTAATTTCATAGAATTCTTACGTAACTATTCGGGATCAGATTCAGCGATAATATTAGTGGAGTATAGATAACTCGTAGAACTTAATTATATTAAAGATCTTTTCTAGTAATCAAGGAACGATATATAGGAATAGAGAAGAGTGTACTCATAAGCAAGGTGACTATTCTATGATGATATCAATGGTCATGGTATCTGTGGCCGTGGCGATGGTGATATATTCAGATTGCGCTCTCTAAGGTTGTTTCAGCTGGTTGTGACCTGGTTATGCTATCCCCTTTGGTTTATTAGGAGGCTAATTATATCATTGTATTCCGAAATAAGAGGGTTGTTTACGATAAATGAAATATTACAGAAATAATAGGAATAATAAATCAAATTTTTTAATCATATCTTTTGTAGAAAATAAAAATTTACATTCCCAACATAATTTTTCTGTCAAATAATGACGGGAGTTAATGGATAATTACTTTTTTCTAAATTGCATTATTCCTTTTCTCAAAACTTCGTATTAAAATGATAGATTTTGATTTGTTTACACTAACTCCTATGTAGAAAAATTTGTTTTACTGTACTAGCGTCTGAAGATCATTGATTATATAAATGCTGCTCCCCATGAACAAGAAGTAAAATTTAATTAAATGTTCCCACATGTATGTTTATTAATAGTTAACATGTTCAATAAAATAATTTCGATCAGTTTTCTTCGTCAATACATACTTCATATTGATTTTCTTTTATTTGTTTATTTATTCATACAAATTTATTATTGATATTCACATTTTACGTAGTGCATAATTCATTCATTTCTATGATATTCATTTATCATATATTTCATTATCTTCACTTCTTATCTTTTGATTTTTTATTACACGAATCACAGCCTCTCCACGCGCTTTCTCGCTCTTTGTATGATTCCGTTCTGTGTGTTACCTTTCGCGGGTTCCTCTGCTGTAGGCTCCCGCGTTCTCGGTTACTCACACATGACCTGCTCATTTTCCTACCCCGCCCCTCGCCCATCACCCTCGCACCCTCGCCCCTCTCCCACGCCGGCCGCCCCTTCGCCACTCGCTCCTCGCCCCTCGCCCTCGGCCTCGCTCCACGCCCATGCGCCATATGCGCCCATCGCCCACCCGCCCCTCGCCCCTCGCGTCCTACGCAAATCGGCCACCCTCGCCCTTAGCGCTCGCCCCTCGCCCGCTCGCCCCTCGCCCGCTCGGCCCTCCTCGCCCTCCTCCGACCCTCGCCTCTCGCCCCTCGCCCCCCGCCTCTCGCCCATCACCCCCTCCCCTCGCTCCTCGCCTCGCCATCGCCCCTCGCCATACGCCCACCTCGCTCCATCCTCGCCCTTCCGCCGCCTCCGCCCTCTGCTCCTCGCCCCTCGCCCCGTCGCGGCCTCCGCTCTCGCCCCTGCGCTACCCTCGCTCCCTCGCCCCTGCCGCCTCGCCCTCGCCCATTCACTTGCGCCATCGCTCCTCGCCCGCCCCTTCCGCTCGCTCGTGCTCACCTCCCCTCGCCTCTCTCGCACTACCGACTTGCGCTCTCGCCCTTCGCCCCTCGCCTTCGCCACCCACCTCGCCCCTCGCCCCACTCGCCCTCGCCCTACGCGCCCTCGCCCATCGATCACCCTCGCCTCTCCTCGCCCCTCGCTGCCGCTGCGCCACCTCGCCCGGCCCCCTCGCCCTCCCGCTCCACCCTCGCCCCTCGGCTAGTCCTCTCCGCCCATCACCCCTCCGTCCTCGCCACGCTCGCCCCCTTTCGCTCTCCTCATGCCCCCTCGCCCCTCGCCCCTCGCCCACCCTCGCTCCTCGCCTCCTCGCCGCCTCGCCCCTCGCCCCTCGCCTCGCCTGCGCCCCTCGCCCCTCGCCCTCGCCACCCCGCCCCTCGCCCCTCGCCCTCGTCGCCTCGCCTCGCCTGCGATCAACCTCCGCTCCTCGCTCCTCGCCCTCGCCCCTCGCCCCTCGCCTCTCGCCCCATCAACCCCTCGCTCTGCGCCCTCGCCCCTTGCCCATACCCTCGCTCCTCGCTCCTCGCCGCCTCGCCCCTCGCCCTTCGCCCCAACGCCCTCGCCCATACCCCTCGCTCCTCGCCCTGCGCCCATCACGCCCTTCGCTACCTCGCCTGCCCTCGCCCCTCGCCCCTGCACCCTTCGCCTCGCCCTCGCCCCTCGCCGCCTTCGCCCCTCGCCCTCGCGCTCCTTCGCCCCATCACCCCCTCGCTCACTCGCTCCTCGCTCCTGCCCGCTCGCCCTCGCCCCTCGCCCATCACCCCTCGCTCCTCGCCCCTCGCCCCTCGCCGCCTCGCCTCTTCGCCCATCCCCCTCGCTCCGTCGCTCCTCGCCCCTCGCCCATCGCCCCTCGCCAATCACCCACCTCGCCCATCACCCTTCGCTCCTCGCTCCTGCCCCTCGCCGCCTCGCCCCTCGCCTCTCGCCCTCTCGCCTCTCGCGGCCATCACCCTCGCTCCTCGCCCCCGCCCATCGCCCCTTGCCCATCACCCCTCGCCTCCTCACTCCTCGCCCCTGCCCCGCCCCCTCGCCCCTCGCCCTCGCCCTCGCCCTCGCCCCTTCGCCTCGCGCCTCTCGCCATCACCCCTCGCTCCTCGCCCCTCGCCGCCATCACCCCTCGCCCATCACCCCTCGCTTGCCTCGCCCTCGCCCCTTCGACCTCGCCCTCGCATCTCGCCCCTCGCCCTCGCTCCCGCCCCTCGCCTGCTCTCCCTCGGCCGGTTCCGCGTTGGAACGCCGTCGCAGCGCGCCTCCTCTTCGCCCCTCCTTCATCTGCCTGCCCTTGGAGAGTTGCCTCCGAGAATCGATCTAGCGTGACATGGCCCTTATTATACGCGTCTCTTTAGAAGGGCCATTCGCCCCATAAATTTCTCGGCCGCTTGGGCGCGGGCGCTGCGTCAGGCGAGTGCAGGCGCCCCGAGTCCTCTTCGCCCGAGCTGAGTGCTCCGCCCGCGCCTTCCTCCGTTCGCAGGCGAAAGAAGGGATCACGCTGCATCCGCGCGGAGACCCCGAGAGCACTGGAGTTAGACATCTCGGGGGCAGATGAGCTTAGCGTTTTGCTACGAAACTAGACGTCGTGGAAGTGCGTAGTAAGAGCGCGACAGGTGGAAGAGGGCTCTCCTTCAGTTTCAACGTACTACTGTGTTACGAAATTGTTTCCCTCAAGTAAAATCCGGGATTCAAAACACACTTTTCTTGTATTATTTCAGTAGTTTACTCTACTTTCAATAATTTTACATCTTTTTACGTTCTATTTTTTGTTCCTTTTTGTATATTTTAGGCAACATTGAAAATTTTCTAAAGAAAATATTTCTTTTCATGAATGATGAAGGAGGAACAATATTGTTTTCGAAATTTGATTACATTTAAAATATTTTCCAAAATTATATTCTTTGCGCGTGATCAAAAGAGCTTAAGTTACTTTTGGGTCTTTTTTAGTTTCTTACACGATCTTGACAAGAAAAATTAAAACTTTCGTAAAAATTGTGTGAAAACTTATAATGACCAAAAGTAACTGAATCCCTTTTAAGAATGTACCAAAATATGAATAATGAAATATGTAATAAATTAAATGTCGATTACTCTTGCTAATCGCTGAGGAAGACCACGACAAGTTGGTCTAAACGTCCCACATTCACCAAAACTCACAACGTCAACTCAGCCTTCGACGCGGCGTCACTTGTTAATTTCTCATTAAGGCAATGGAGATACTATCCAATTTCAACACGTTGAATTAGAAATTAACGGTTACAAAATTTGAGAATGATATCAGAATGAGAAATGGCTTGCACACGAAAAGAAAAAGTCAGTGACTATTTTCAGTATAAATTTGAGTATTTTAATTTGGAGAAAATCTTTCCTTGGTCAAATATTGTTCCAAGAGAAGAAAACGTGGATGAGTTTAAGGTGAATATATTTTTGCAAATATTAATAGTAGGTTATGGTCAAGTACGATGATAATGCAGAACAAACAAATT